GTGAAGACACAAGTCAGCTTTTTTGGCTAAAAAACAGACTCGTAAAACACTAGAATTTCACTCGGAGACTGAAGCACAAGGTGAGTCATAATTTTAGTCAGATAACCGATTAAAAATGCTCCAGAGGTCACCGACAGCTCACACGAATAGGTTACATTCGGTTCTATGAAAATGATGAAGGGGAGGCCTCGGATACTGATGACTTACAGCTGTCTGTGTCAGGACACTTGTAATGAAAAGTGACATCACTTTGAAATGTTTATAAATTTCACATCAGTCTCACTGTTTGAAATGTATTCTAAAACTTTTTGAATTGGAAAAGACTGCAAACGTAGCACCTCCACTTTATACACTGAAACAGCAATCTATCTGGAAAACTTTACTATTGTTATAGTTGCCATATAAGTGGGTTTGCAGTTATAGTAAAGAAATAAACAACCATCACTTTTAAAAAGGTTTGACTTGAGTGTGAAATTACATCAGTGGAAAAAGTTTAAATGTTTGAACCAATGGGAAGGGGGGGAGAGGGTTTGCTTCAGGCAGCTGGTTTCCAAGAAAAATGGAGAGCCAACAGAATCTAAAGGCACCTCTGCTACAAACAGCTATTTAAAGCCGGAGGAGTTTTACCTCCAGTATCCCCTGAAGTGAATATTACTGTGATGGAGGACCACGCTGGTCCCAAGTCACGTCAGTTTGAGGCATTTGCTTCAGCCCCAGTAATGCCCAGAGCCACTGCTCTAAGAGCTGATGCAATCTGCAACCGTTTCCAAGCCGTCTGAGGGGAAATAATCTACTCCTCCAGTGCTCACACAGCATCAAAGTACAAAACAATGCACCAAATATGAGAGTTACCTAAAATATCCTGTGAAAGACTGACAGGATGGCGATGGAGTGGTTAGAACTGGTTTGAACCCCTGCTGGGGCCTTTCTCTGTGGAGTTGCATGTGTGGTTTTCTTCCAGGTACTCAGATTTCATCCTGCAGTCCAAGGACATCTATGCTAGGCTAGGTTCACTGATGATCCTAAACGGATTCATCACAGATGTGAAGAAGATAAAGTGATATGTGAACTTGTGACTCTGAAATATCTGACTATATGAACATGACGCAGGTTCAGATACACTTGTATTTAATTTTAACATGTTTTTATATATGTTTTCTCAGGACTGACTATGGCAGCAGTGATCTTTTGAAATGCAGATTTAGCTAAAAATGTCAATATTAAGTGGAGGATGGATCATCGGGTGTGCAGCTCAGAGTCTGCACTACCTCTAAACACCCCCTGAATATATCGGGCTCTGGCTGCTCGAGTCGTTCGTATTTTTATCTGTTTGAGCTCGTTTTCGCTCTCCGAGTGTTGAATCCACTTTGATGTGCTGTCTTTCTGAATATTTTATTGTGCGCACACTCAGCGGGGAGAGATTGAGTGGTGTGAATGTAGATGATAGTTAACTGCTACTTGAGCATTGTACATCTATTAATTAAGGGCTATGCAGGATTTCTGGATCTTTCTTTGTGTACAGGAGATATTAGACCATTAGTTTTGTGCCCAGAACTATGTAATTTGGTAAAACTGTGCAAATATGCAGGAATTACTGAAGTTAGTTAGTCAAGCTGAGCATAATGAGACACATTAGGAGGTAAAGAGGTGTTAAAGGTTACGTCAGGCCTGATGAAGAACTGTTTTGTCTGTGAACCTTAATGTTTTTTATTGACTGCATTGCAAAATGCCAACCTGTTTTTGTTTTTTGTTTTTTATCTGTAGTTCACAGGAAACACTATTAGATTTGACAGATACTTTTCTTTTTCTTTTAGAAAACTAGTTGAGAGGAAAGACAAGCTGCTGTATTTCTTTGTAAGTGCTTTACAGTTAAGTGAAGTTGTTGGCTTCTCTCCTGCCTGACTGAACTGGACCGGATCTGGGGAAGGAGTCATGTCTGAGTGTGCTGCCAACAAAAACAGCACTTATCTCAATTTCTTGGTTGCACTTTCGATTTGAGGCTGACTTGTGTGTACAGATGAGGAGGAAAACCTCCAAACATAACAAATGGAATTTGATGTTTTCATTTGACTATAAAATATGCTAATCTTTATGTAAAAAAATAAATAAAAAAAACTATGCTGATGATTTCTGACAATATTTTTTAAGACTAATCTTAAAAGCAGAGCGAGTGTCTGTCTTCTGAATTCAAACTGGGAGCTGGTTCCACAAAAGAGGTGCCTTAAAGCTTTATGCGCCGTCTCCCATTTTGCGTCTGAAAGCTCTAGGAACCACATGTAAGCCACCAGTCTGAGAGTGAAGTGTTTGGTCAGGATAATATGGTACTATGAGGTCTTTAAGATAGGATGGGGCCTTATTATTCAAGATTTTGTAGGCAAGAAAGATTTTAAGTTTAATAATTCGTGTCATATTGAAAAAAGATTGCACAAAGCCATCCAGATTAAAAAAAAAACTTATTTCTTCTTGCTGTTTATGTTACATAGACACAAGCAAATCCATGTGTAGTTGTGGATGAGGATTGTATAAATCTTTTTTTTTTTTATTAAATGACATCAGAAACAGCAGTATGCGACATTACGTGATGGCAGAGCTTCAGTTCATCCTTTGTCTTTTTTTTTTTTTTTTTTTAATAAATAGGACAGGGGGAATGAATGAGAGAAAGAGGGGGAGAGAAAGAAAGAAAACCAAAGGGGAGAAGAGAGGTGAGAAGGGAAGAAAGAAAAAAAAAAAAAAAACAAAACTCCTGGGTCACCTGTATGGAGAAAAAACAACAAACAAAAAAAACAAACAGAGGAGACAGCAAACAACAAAGAGCAACATAATAGTAGAGAAAACAAAGCACCATCACAATAAACTAGCTAGTCATAGATATCAATAGTTACTAAATAATAAACGATATTGTGCAGCACGCAAGATAGACAGCGCACAGTGTGCTTTGAGGCAGCAGCCAAGAAAGCTTTAGTCCGCGTCTGTGAATACCCATGTGTACACCTGTGTGCATACCTGTGTGGATCAGCATGCTTGCATTCCAAAGGTTTCTCCATGTAATGATCTGCTAGGGAGTGTGGGGGGGCCACAGCCCCGTCCTCCAGGGTGTGAAGCGGGTATGGAGGAGATCAAAACTCCAGACATCCAGAGGCCCCCAGAACACAAGAGACCAAGGAAGACCAACAGAGGGGCAGCCTCTGGATTGTATAAATCAATGAGACGATCAAATCCTACAGTAAGTATGACGCTGTATGCAGCAGCTGGTCAGCTTAGCAAATTGGGGGAAACTGTAAACCTGTGTCACTTGTGTCATTTGTCTTTTTTAGAAGCAGCAACACCAACAGATATACAAAATAAGGTATCTTAGCACTTAAAGGGGTAAGCTAATAACTACCAAGCTAGTAGGGGTGTAGTTAGTTTGTCTTACTTTCATCTGATGCTCTGCAAAGTGATCAAGTGCTGTCATATTTTATTTTAAAGACTAAAAGAAGGTAGAGCATGCTCAATCTTTTTTTCCCCTCAAATTTATTTGCAGTTAAAACAGAAGCAAGTGACAAAACTAAAATAACAAACTGCAAAAACAACAGTGAGATAAAACAAAGGATCAAGCATAGATGTGCTTCAAAGTTTCCCTGAATGAATAACTTGATATACATGTGGAGGTGCTGTCACTGAAACAAAAAACATGATTTTAGCTTCAGCAGATGAAAGATGGACACAGGCACTTTAGTCAGGATGGAGATGCTAAGCTACAGCAAGTTAATAAGAAATTTTACTCTATCTACAATGAAATAGAAAGTTCACAGAATGAGGCAATACTTTGTACATAAGGACCCGTGTGAGGACACTACTACTTGGTTCACATACTGCATATGTCAAGAGAAGGGGAACAAGTCGACGTTCCGAAGCTAAAGTACCAAGCCAACCGCTCTCACTTGGGACAGAGAGAAATGAAATGAAGCAAAGTAGTAAGAATGTGGTGTCCAATAGGTGACAGTGATAATATATGCAGATAACCAGAGAAGGTCTCCGCTCTTAGTTATAATTTGAACCATAAACAGACTGCACAAGTCTTACAACCTGGAAATGAGTTGGTATGTTTTATTTCCACTTCACTTGCCTTGTTTGTTTTTTTAAATGTATTATCTTATTTATTCTTTTTTAGATGTTCAAAAAAGGTCTGTGGTTAACAGATTTTCATACTTTGTTCAGTAAAGCTTTTCTTGAGTCATCACCATCGAAGCCTTCATGGTTTCAAAAATCCAGTAAGACTCGTCCATCAAACAGCCCGTTCAACAAGTCTTTCATTGGCTTGTAAAAATGTGCAAGGAGGTGACGGCCATCTGAGAATTTCTACGCTCTCACATGCCCCATAACAGCCTAGTGGTGTGAGGTTAAAGTTAGAAGCAACCTTAGTGAGGTTTGTTTATAGCAAGCGAGTCAAACATGGGTCCAACACACCCACTACATGTCAGGTGACAGTTCGATCAATAATAACTACATTTTTTATCAATAAAACGTACTGCTGAGATACCAGCATGGATCAAAAGCAGTGAACTAAAATACTATCGTTAAAACTGATGGCTCATTAAAACAGTGGAACATTTACAGACTTCACATCTTTAGCAGGTCAGCTAATATAATTTATCAGTGGCTCTCGACCACTGCAGGTCAAATTGCGCCATATGTGGCCCTTTAACTACAATGAGTTGAACACCCTTGGTTTGTGTCCTAACATTAACATTTTACAGCTCGCAACTGCTTATTCTTAAAGCACAAACATATCATGAATTTTTAAAGATCATCATTCTGTACAAAACGTACAGGTATTACAAAATTTTACTCCCCACTGAGCCTACTTCCTGGGAAAGTCTGAATCACGTTTTGGCTGAAGGAACCGGGGCAGTACGAACTTCTGGGCTGGCCTACAAAAACAAAAAGGCAATTCTTTTGTTGACATCAAAATCTGCAGCATCACTACACCTTCCTACATCGGAGTAATTAAGAAGAAATGCCAAAGAAACGTTTTCCTTTATTCCAGGAAATTAAATCCAAAGCATACATACTGTAGTGATATGCTGCAAAAGGCTTGCTACTTGAACTCTCACACAAACAGCTCTGCAGGCATATGACTGTCTCACAAGTTAACTAGATCAGACTCTACTGAGGAAATCTATGCAAGCTATCCTATATGGCATGGACATTATAAATATCAAAGGACCTAGAAACAGAAACATGTACTCCAAACATGGGATAAATAAGTACACTACCTGAGAGTGAAAACATCTGAATTGGCTGTTACCTTGAAACTTAACGTCTATGATCACCAGTGTTTACAGAAGCTTTGTGATTTAACTCTAAAGTGGGCTTCTCAACAGCAACTGATTTCTAAGGAAAAACTCTTTCAGTTTCTGTCAAAACTTTTTGGATTCATCAAACTTTAAGATAATAGTTTATCCATGGTTACCTAAAAGACTTCAGCCTGCTAATATGAAGGCATTTTTTTGCCTTCCTCATGTCATTTATGGCCATGTAGTGGTACCATGACACTCAAGCTCCGATAGTAAGCACCAACCCTACCCACAGAGCCACCCTCTTTGCTATTCCTGTAGTCTCTCAGATTTCTATGTCATGTCTGATTCAACTTGGCTTATTTTTTGGAGAATTCAGCTGCATCTCAGATTTTGCATCAGCAAAGTAAACTTGTTGACTGACCTGTTTCACAGGGTTTGAATATGATCATAGTTTTTTGTCTTGGAAAAGTCCTTAGGTGCATACCCTTGAGGTAAATTTATTTGTCAAAACATACATTAACATCAAATTTAAGTTCTGGCACCCAGCAGGAGCTTCACGATAGCTGACTGCCTGCTCAAGTTTTACAAATGACGATGGTAAACGTTTATTCTCAGAACCAGGTTGAGGTGTGTGAGTAAAATAAATAACCATAAATACTGGATGATTGGAAACTGACAAGCTAAAAGTGGTAAAAGAAATATTTCCAAGGCTGCTTCATTCCTATTCCAACATCATTTCTAAGTATCCAGAGCTGATGTGGTTTTCTACAAGCACCTTGAGACCAACTTCATGTCTGTTCAAGTGAGAGTAAACACATCAAACAGGAATTCAGTGAAGGAGTTTTGGGAAACACGGGCCTGGTCTTGGACTCACAGACAGTAGAATCATGTCACTGTTCTGCTATTTTCCACCAACTGATTCTTATAAAAAAAGATGACTTTGGCTTCTTGCACTCAGAGCAGTGACACATCCTTACTGCTGCCTCTAGTCCCTGACCTGTCCTCATTTCTTCTTCTGCACTTCCTGCAGGAGCTTCAAGGCGGCCGAGTTCTTTGGTTCCACTTTCAGCAGAGTGTTCAGATCGTCCACGCAGGCTCTGACGTCCTGCAGGGGAGAAGGCAAAAAGTTTCAGAGATTAAAAATGAAACAATGCTGACAAGGTCAGAGAAACTGAAAGTAAAAACACCTCAGTAGAACAGAGTCAGTGACCAATATCTGCATAAAAACAATCAACACAGTTCAGAACAATGCAATTTAATCCACAGTTGACGTATGTGCTTTCTCACAAGGTAAACTTGAACATTTTTAAAAACAAACCAGCTTGGAACTAACAAGTAAATAATAATGTCTCTTGCCCGCTGCCTTATAGTTTGCATATATTTTGCTATTTAGTTTTAAATTTTCATTCATCTGAGAAAACAACTCAATCAGTTTACTTTGAGAAGATCCCCATGCCATTATTTTGATAGGACCTGAGCATCAACTGAACTTTCTGTTTCATGTTTCCCCGTGAACAGTCTGATTAGATTGCTGTTGTTGTGGCAGTCTCGACTGTCATCCTGTGATGGGTCAGGGTCTGATTCCACCACGTTGGACTGCATCAGGCAACAGTAGTCCTTGTTCTGTTCTGGACATCTATTTGGAAGTCTTGAGGCTCACAGACCAGATTCAGAGCAGAACAAGGACGACTGCCTTTGGGTTCAGTCAAAGACAGTAGAGGATGAGGAAGAAGTTGATAACTATCCCATTACTTTTTGTCACAAAGCATATGTGCTTTATTATTTATTTATATATTCACAAATTCAATCTATTTCTATGGGAAACACTAAACATGGGTAAACAAGTGACACTAATCACATAATGAAGGCTCTCTTGTGTTTAAATACACCTCTGTTTAGCTACCATTTAATATTAAAACGGGATTACAGTCACACTTATGACTGTAAGTGTGACTGTAATCCCACATGACAAAATAAATGTTCAAACTGATTTTTTTCTAAATTCCATCTCAAAGTAGATCAAGATACAAAACGTCACCCAGCAAAAAAACTAGTCATTTCCTTTAGTACTTTGTGACAATGAAAAAAAATGCCGTCCAAAATGATGAAAAAACGAGTTCCTCTCTGCAAAACCAGCTGAATGATTTAAAGCCCACAACTAAGGCAGGAACAGATGGTACTAGGTGGCTAGCATTGACTGAGCTTTAAAAAAAAAAAAAAGAGTGAACGAGTGACTAGTGCCCTAGTCTGGGTAACCGGTAGACAATGCCTTCTTGTTTCTTCTCTATCTGAAATAACTACTATTTTTATTCACGTCTTTAGGTGACCTGATCTTGAACCCAGCTGAGATAGTGTTAGCTATGATCAGTGATGTAGTATTGAGATTCACAATCACAGGAAAAGAAGAACATGAATAAAGAAAATACATGATAAATCTTTGCTTATTTTGCACCCCCGCCCCCTCTTTTTGTTTTCTTGCGCTGGCAGGTTATCTGTTACTCAAGGCAATGGAAGAGGAGACACCGATAATTGGATGTCTAGATAAAAATCACGTTAAACAATATGAGGTGGAAATGAAGGAGAATCGACTCTCTTCGTCTCTTTTTGACAACTCAAACCACCAAACACAGACTTGAGCTTTTCACTGCATGTAGCTGCGAGTGCCGAGCTTACTGTCTCCTCTGTGTGTTTTGACTACTAATGAGGAGAGACTGTCAGGGGAAACGCTGGTAATTATCAAGCCAGGAAATGCTTTTTATTTTGTCGCTTAGCTTGAAAACCTGCAGACACTTTTGAAACTAACGTCTGATTGCGCTGTGTGGGAATCAGAAGCTGGAGCGCGGTGATGAAGACTCGTGCTCTTACCTTGAGTTCCTTGTGAGCCTGAGCCCTCCTGTAGAGAGCCTTGACATTGTTGCTGTCAATCACCAGCGCCTCGTCACAGTCTCTGATGGCGTCTCTGTACTGCTTCACTGACAGGTAGCACAGCGCCCTAATCACACAACACACAGTAAACCACATTTAAAACATCTGGGCGCATCTTTATTTATTTGAAGGTCCAGTCAAACAATAATGTTGCCATGATGTATTAATTATTAATCTAAAATGCTTCACTACATGTATAACACTCTGTGATCAGAGCACTCCAAAATGGATGAATCTGAATTTGTATTTATTTTCAGGTTCTTCAAGATTATTCATTTTTTTGTCTAAGCTTTTATTTGACTGACACACCTAAAACTTTACCTTTAAATGCTTTCTAGCCTCTTCATTTGTTCATTTGTTACTGAAATATTTTTAAATGTGAACTCCATTTCAACGAACTCTTTAAATAATATCCAGCTAAAGTGTTTTTTTGTTTACTTTTTAATTTATATTTATCTTAGTCCAGGGCCATCATGTGATTCAGACTGATTCTTTACTATTCATTGTCAGAAATCCACATTAAGGATCCTCCAAAGAAAATATAACAAGCTAAGGGGCCGAATTCATGTCACAGTGCAGCAGAGAAATAGAGTCCCGGCATTTCTTTAATATTTTTTTTTTGTGTTTGTTATTGTTTTCTAGTGCTACTGTGTTATGTTTACTCATGTCAAAAAGTCAGGAAAGACTTAAGTGTAAAGTAATATCTGTGTACTAAGCTAATGATTTTAGCATTTTTGTCCAGTCACGCAGAAAAACATGACTCATCTACTGTGCAACAGCAGTTAGTCCATATAAGCTACAGCTTGCAAATTTCCATCAGCCACTAAAAAACAGGCTTAATAGGCAATGGGCATTACACAGAAACTGCCCAACATAGTACAAATGCCTCCTGATTAAATAAAGCAACTGAATATTAAAGCAGAGAAAAGTTATCAAAACAAAAATCTTAAAATGTATATTATGAATACCATGTCATCTTTAAAGTTTTCATAGGTATGCAAATCCCTTTAACACAGTTTCAACGATATTAAAATCATCCACCTATATGAACATATTACTATTCTTATATAGTCAGGTTTTTTATAACTGCCAAAGCTATATTTAGCTAAATCTGTAGGAGTCTTTATTTTATAAACAAACAAAAACAGGACCAAATAATATATGATGGTTGATATATTCGTTGGAGCAATATTAAATACAACACTGCAGAGACACAGATGCTGATGATCAAGGCTCACCGGTTGGTGTAGGTGGTGACTTCTGTAGGGTTGTGTTTGAGGCTCTGGCTGTACTTCTCTATGGCCTTCTTGTGCTCTCCTTTCTTCACCAGGGCATTGCCTTCTTCTTTTAAGGCCTGAGCTTTCTTTATCTCTTTATCACTGGGAGCTGAGGAGAAGGTAAGGAAAAGGTGGGGGGCATAAAAAAGAGAGTTTGAATATGATAATGCTGCTCCGTCTCTAAGTAACTTTTAAAAAAATCCAATGAATGGTTATGTTTTCATGAAGCTGGTCAACTCTTTGACACTAACAAGGAACTCAGTCAATTCAAATCAATAACATAATTTTAAATAACATAATTTTTCATAAATCTATGTACCAGGTTTTTTTGTTTGCGTTGTGCCATTCTGCTGAGGTGTTGGGCTTTGTTGGGTGACATTGCCTGCAGACTTTTGGGCAAGTTTTTCCTTCACAGACAGAGGAACTGTGGGAATGGGAGGAAGCTTTTCTCTCCATGACGGACCGTCTGTCTCTGTGAGTGCCTTTGTCATCCTGAGAAACAGTACAACAGTGACAAGAATGTGAACAGAGAAGAAGCTGAAAAACAAACTTTTTGTGCTTCTGCCCACAAGTTCAGGTTCTGTTCTTGAACTGTGGAACCAAGGAGTCAACACTTTTACTTCAATTAATGGAGCTGGCCAATTAGAGATACTGTGAAGACACTTCTGCTAATGTATTTACAAATACTCATGTGTAGGTCTAATGTCAGGTCTGTGTATTTTCATTATGGTTTCATAATCTCTTTCTTGGGGACGGGGGATTACAGAACAGTGTTTAAAACCTACAACAGACCAAGAAGATGCATAAACCATCTGTTTTTTTAAACCTCCTAAAACAGATATTTCTGTACTGATATTTCTGCAAAACTGTAAATTGTAAAGTGTAAACTGGTTAGATTTGTTTATTTCGATCTGGAAAATCAAACTCGGAAACAACTGTGCTTGGTCTACTTGGCAGTAATATGCCATACAAACACAATATGTTGATATTGTTCACAGTGCAATTGGAAAGGCTCGTATTAAGGTACTGCAGCTATAGAAACTCAGAGATGGTGAATATTATATTGTAAGCTAAAATATAACCATCACTCAGCTAGCTAACAGACAACATACCTGTTGGTGCCATCGTGAGCTGCTGCTATGTTGCAGTCAATCTGTAGAGCAGTTTTGTAGTCTACGTAAGCTTGCCTATAACGCTCCAGAGCTTCGGAGGCAGCAGCACGACGAAGCAGAGACTTCACATTGAACTGGGATAACTCCAGAGACCTGAAAGAAAACATGTTAAAATCATAATTTAGATAATGTTTTGATAATGAACAGGCTGAAAATGGACATATCGTCATTAAAAATTTAACAATAAGTTTAATGGACAAAACTACAGAAGTCAATATACAGAACAGAACAAAACATTCCTTTTATTTCATGTACTTGAGCATCTCCCTTATGTTACATTACCAAAGGTTGGATGTTCTCACACAATCAAACACCCCAAATAAGAAAATAAGGGTGTAAGATTTGAGGAAAGAAAGATGCATGAAATCCAAATTGCAACATCACACTCACATATTGCAGTCTTTCACACATTCCCCACAGTTGCCATCCTTCAGGTAGCTGGCTGCACGGTTTGAATACAAAATGGACAAATCCTCTGGATTCCTTTTACCTTAACAGGAACAAAACGATGTGTTTAAGAGCAGATCGTCAAACAACAAATAACCCTATTAATCTGAAGACATGTGCAACTGTTAGAAAGAAAACATTCATTAAATGACCAGAAAACACAAATCACACAACACAGCATTGTAGTGTTGTCAAGCACATTGTAAAATATTTTTAAGTCTTAAGTCTCTACTTATTGCAACATGGCATCAATTCTCAAAAACTGCTTTGCTGTTCCCTGATGCTACAATAGCCATGTTAGAAACTGCGACTAGCGAGGAAGAAGAGGGATTTGATACAATTTAATGTTGCACTCAATTCTTATAGCATTTTGCCTGTACTGTAATACTAAATACTAATTGCAGTACTAATTGCACTTATGTGTGCAGCTCTGCACACATAAGTGGAGGAAGCAGATAGAGAGACTACCTAGACTGAGTATATTCACTTGGGATGTCAGTGTACACACACTGATTTTCCCCAAAGAGGTTTTAGTCAGAGCCAATGGAAAGGAAGAAGAAAATAAAAGAGCACTGGTTTTACATTCATATGGGTTTCATCTTATTGTTTAAGACCTTTTTTACTAGCTATCTTCTGCTGCTCCCTTATTCACAAGGGGTCACCAGAGCAGGTGGCTTTGCATATTTGTTTTGGCAGAGTTTTATGCCAAAAGCCCTTCCTAATATAAACCCACAAGAAAACTGTCTCTTGCCAGTGCAATAGCGCAAACTCTGCAGTATTGCACTATGGAGCCACAGGTCAATTTTTTGTATGCCAGTTTAAAAAAGAAGAAGAAGAAAAATGTAGAGATGGGAATTAAGAACCAGTAATAGGTTCCCAATAATTCAATTCCTTGGAAGTGTTGGTCTGCTTGCCTATCGATCCTGCTTATCTGTGTGCTGGAGGAGGAAAATAGCGGTTCAGTCTACAGCATGTACTTATTTTTATTGCACAAAAGGATGAGAGTGCAAACTACATCCAGCACAGAAACAACTGCATTATGTTGCTAATACAACTTTGGCCCTTTGCAAGCATACTAACACTAAGCTAGCCAAGGACCCAGAGTGATGTTAAAGCTGAGTAAATACCAACCCCTGAACTCAAACCCTGAACTTCAACAGGTAAAAAACGGATGAGCAGTCAGGCTGCAGCCTCCGTTTCTACTTCTATTTTTATGGAGAAACACAAAAGTAATGTAATGTTTCTACAGTAGAATCATAATCACTGTGAAGTCTCCTTGTGCTAGTTTTCATCTTTGCTTTGTGTTCATAACTGAATACTAAGAGAAAGACTGTATGTGTGTCTGCATTAGGATTGGGGTTTTTGTTGAGGAACAGGAATGTGCCAGTAGGTTTATACTGTTAACTGGTAACTATGAGGTCATTTTACAGTAGTGAAATGTTAAAGTAATGAAGGTTATGAGAATCTTATAACAAATTACTTCCTCTTGGGAGTTGTGAAGTACTACATTACAAAGTACTGCATTTCTTTTAAGAAAAGTGTTCTGTGTAATATGTTTTTTGAGTAACAACCTCAATACTGATCAACAAAGAGGGGAAATACCTCCAGCATGCACACACATTTGACCACCACATGCAATTAATCTGCATGAATTTAATGTTTTTGGATATGCTGCTTAATGATGGTGGTGAGTCTCAAAGGAGCCAGTGAGAACCAAATGAGAAGACAACATGAACCTCTAATGGAATTGGAACCACTAAATTGATCAATTTCCATCCCTAGGAAAATGCAGATTTATATCAAATAAGGTCACAGGAACATAAAACGTACTTCACACTCATTTCTCAGTGTACGCACGCTCAGGTTATAATACTTACTGTTCTTCTCCAGCGCTTTGATTGCCTGGCTGTAGAGATTTGTGGCCTCGCCATATTGGCCTGTCTTGAAACATTCATTGCCAGCTTGTTTCAGCTCAGCCCAGGACTTGGACTTCTGTTTTGGTGGCATGTCTTCTTGCTGGCTCCTACCTAAAATGATACAGTAATGGTTGCTTTATATGTGGATTAAAACATCAGACAATTCAAATGTAACTGAAATGACTCATCAATAAAATAATGGATTTCTATTCATACAAAGGAATAATGTGGACCTCCCCACCTCTGTGTGGTGGCTGAATGAGGCACGTATTTCTACAACAATTTTGTAAAGAAAGAAATTGATATATTAGTTGTTGCACACAGCTTTGTTTATGTGTCAGTCAAGAGAATCTTGTATCTATATTTTTTGTCAAAGATGCTTCTTCATGTGAGAAAGACTGTGGCAGTGTATGTGTAGCTCTGCACACAGAAGAAGACAGGTCCGATGTTAGCGATGACTTGTTAAACTATTAGGATCTACCACTACTAACGTTTCTCAATGATACCCAGACAAGAGTCAACACCCTACAGGGTTTAACTTAATAATAAATTCTCATCACTACAGGTTAAGACAAAACAGCCATATACCATCATTGTTTAAAGATCAGCTTGTTTTTTTTATTTTGTTACTGTATTCATCAGTGTTGGCCTGAAACGGACAATTAATTTGAAAAATGTGTGAAATTATTTTGATAATTAGTTCATCATTTTTTAAGTAAAACTAGAGGGGAAAAAATACTCTTTTAGAGATTTTAGTTTCTCAAAGAGGATTTTCTCCATTCAAAACTAGACAATTGTCTTCGGCTTTTGTTTTGTGCTGTAGAGAAACTGAAACAAAATGTCACAACAAGCCATATACTGAAAGTAATCACTACTTATAAAGTATATATTTTATCATCATTTCAATATAAAAATTGTACCATAAGCACGCCACGAGACTGCCTGATTAACACTAAATCAGAAGAGTAATTTTAATTGCGAACACTATATAGTCACATTCAGATGCAGGCAATTTTAGATTGACTAACAAGAATATATATCAAATAGCTTTGTTTAGTGCACAGAGGCTTATTTTTGTTTGAGGCCACTGGCAGGGCTGTAAATTAAAGAATTTTCCAAATCTGGAATCAATAAAACATATCTCGTCTAATCTTAAACAAAATTTCAATTAGTTACACTGTACAACAATTAAACAATTAATTAAGTTGAAGTCATTTTTTTTCTTGCAGTGGTGCTTTATGTTCGCTTCCACATGCCTTTACTTTTTAACCAATTAATTAACACTGTGTCCTGATTATCACATTTACTCTAACAGAGACAGTGTCAGAGAATCATAAACCAATAAAAATACTTTCACTTTCAGCTTCTGTAGCCTTACTACAACAACAACAACAACAACAATAATAATAATATTAATAATACTGAGATTTGATGACAGCTAATAGTTTCCACTCACATATACCACAGGCTTAACTTAAATCAGTTAAACCTCAGGTTAAAAACCCCACACCAAATTAACAAACCTGCTCATCTAACTGTGTGCTAATCTGGTACCTAGCCGCTAACAGTTACACAGTCATATTCTGTTCATGACATTTTCTCCAAACCATTACTTAAATCCTACTTTCAAAAAGAGCCACAACTGAACCTTGTTTCCTCGAGATTTTGCTTAAAAGTCGTCTTACTCCCACTCTTTCTATGCGTTAACTCGCTAGCTAAGTAATGCTAACTCGTGTGGGTTTTGAATGGTGTTTTATGGCAGCTAACATAGCGTAGCATAGCTTTGCTACTATTAGCATGTCTTACCGGCTGCTCAGTCTGAGAGATCACAACGAGGAAGTTCCCCTCTTCACAAACTATCTGTTGCCCTTATGAACGTTGCTAATAATGGCATTACTCAGTGCATGTATGTTGTCCCGGTGGCTGAGACCCACACTCTGCCTGGGTAGAGAGTTTAGTACAGGGGGAGGTATATGGAACTTGCCGGCAGTCTCTAGTAACTTCTCAGTTTGCGATATCGGTTTCGCTTCGTTTTAACGCTGTGTTCAAGTACTGTGGTCAGTGTAGGACTTTCACCTGCATGGCGCGCCCTCTGGTGACCATCTGATCAAAGTGTGTTCAGAGACCAGAAACCACAAATGACTCACTGGTTGAGTTTTCAGCAGTAATCGCCACAATAATTTTAACTTTATAAGATAATACATGCAGATTTTTTATATATGCTTCAGCTTTTGATCGCGAAGCTATAATAAAGCGCAGCTCGTTTTACTTTCGTGGTGAAAAATCCTTTGCACTATCCTTTCTGTATCTTGAACGCCTCGTGAGATAGGGAGAAGCAGTTGTTCGGTTTCTATTTAGAGCAAGAGAGCAAATTGTGTTTCGACATAAATCTCGCGATGGTACATCGTGTCCTATTTAAATCTAAATGTATTTATTATTTTTATTTTTGTAATCTAGTTTGACGAGTACAATTTAAATGTACAAACATGAGTTCCTATTAGAGTTAGAAACCTTGTAAACGGAGTTGAGAAAATATATGCAAAAGAAGTACTTATAGTCTGAGACTCAGGCAAAATGTAAAAAATAATTTTAAAAAAATTGCTCAGTTTTGAATGTTTACAGTGTGCCCTTGATGTTTGGGCCGGTTGGGGTCTCTGTGTGCATGTTTTCTTGGTGCTCAGGATCTTGATCCTAATTCTAGCCAATATAGAAACCATCTAAAAGATTACATTAGTCTCAAGACAGCCTCTGCCACCACATTAGATCAATCCCTCTGGGCTCCTTTGATCGGCTCCATCACCTAGTGGGGGTGGGGGGTCGTGGTTTGGTCCCGCTTTCGCCATTGTGGTTGATGTGGAGGTTGGGACGGGTTTAGGGCGTCTGGAGAATCCCTAGGGACGTTATCCCTGGAGGGCTTAACCCAGGGGTTGTAGTCATAACCTGGTTAGTGGCTCTGGTTGCTCTTAGAGGGTGTTCTAAGAGCGATCATGGCTCAAGAGTTGTTGAGTTGTTGTACAAGTTCGCCTTGTAATTGGAAGGTTGCCGGTTCGAGCCCCAGCTTGGACAGTCTCGGTCGTTGTGTCCTTGGGCAAGACACTTCACCCGTTGCCTACTGGTGGTGGTCAGAGGGCCCGGTGGCGCCAGTGTCC